AAAAAAAAAAAGACACATTACACCTTCAGCTTGAAATTAGAGTATCCTCCCAGGACCGCTCTCCAAACCAAAGTAGTTCACTTCACACGTACACCCCTGACGATCTGACATTTCCCGCTCTACTCATGTATCCCGCACAGGTCTGGTACGGCATGTTTTGTTTGTGTTGCGCTGGGGAGTTTTCAGCTAGAGTGACATCAAACGCAACCACCCTGGGTTGTCTGGGAGTAGAGACTCCTGCTATAACCCGCTTCCCACTGCTCACAAACTGCGTCCTTCCGAAAGGTTATCATAGAGCCACTTTGTCGCTCCTAATCCAAAATTCATTACATATAGCGGTTACCACACTTTAATATGATACGTTTCTTGAATGGCTGGGTGAGCTCCTTCACAGTTCGCTGGGAGTTAAGGACAGTGTAAAACAGAGGGTAAAAATGGACAGAGATGCTTTACGAAATTGCAAAAGCGCCATAAACATGTAGAGTGGTATGTGTCAGCAGCAAATCTAATTTACTGACCTCACAACTGATCGCACGTTGCCAGGTAAGTCAATTAAGTGCCTATTAAACCTGTATAAGTGATAGGGGTGGAGAATCTTTGGTTTCTTGGCATGAACGGCCACCCTGAGACAGGGGTACCGGGGCCGCTTTCTGAGTGACAGCGACGGGAAGGTCAGACGGTAATGTGCGGCATAAATGTGCAAGTGATAATGATGGAGCCCTCTCATCGTACCCGGCTCAGATAGCTGCTAACTGGAATGGATGGCTGACCATCACATCTCTCTGAGCATGATACACATATGTTCTAAGCTGACGAGAACAGGATCAGCGGATGACGATGTACAGCAATGTCTGCGATGGAGCTTACTGATAAGATGCGCGTTAAACATCGCATGCGATTTATCGTGCAGCCCTAGTATGTATGTACCAAGAGTTCCTGATAACCACAACAAATTCCTTGTGTTTGCGCACACTTAAGTGGTGAATAAAGCTCATTCTGATTCTAATAAGAAAGCCCCCCTACAATAACTTCTGAAAGTGAACGGTATGTGTTTTGAATTCAATATGCACTGATTCTTATTCAAGCTACAAAAGTTATTTAGGTAAGAGCAGTGAGTGATTTTCTCTTTGTCTTTTGTTCATGGCCCCAAATATTGCAAGCTGTAGCGATATGCATATTGCGATATGTACATTTGCGATATTTCGATCATTTCTATATATTGCACAGCCCTAGAGCAAACACAGGAACACTGCCCCTGTTGTGCTGGTCAAATTGCAAATGTGAGGCATAAAGAGAAGAGCCAAGTTTCTAACTTATCCAAGCAGCTGTTTCAAAGCAGTTTTTTGGACCTCATCATAACCATCACTGATATGCATCATTTGGACATTTCTAAATGATCAGACTTACAACCTTCTACATTGCGAGTAAATTACCTGCTTATTTACATATTTATTTACTTACTTATTTACTCACTCACTCACTCACTCACACACACACACACACACAAACCAATGGCAATTCTATTGCCAAGGTGTGCGTAGAGGACTGACCTAACTAAAATCCAAAACTTGCATTGAATAAGCTGTATCATAGAGACTTGACTTGGTGGTGGATTTTTTGAATTGGGCCAATTAGCAACAACCTACTAAACTACCAAAAGACCGTAGAAACCACATAGCAACATGGAGAAAAAAAAACACTCTGAACACATTAGCAACAACAACAATGTGGCTACCACCCACAACACCCTGACAACTTAGCAACAACCTTTGGATGGGTAAGTCATCAAATTCAGATTTCAACAGACTTAAGTAAATCTTTTTTTGTGTGTGAGTGAACTTATATCATATATCAATATGAAAGATCAGAGTGAGGACGGATTCTACTTTAGCAACTACTTTATTCTTTGTGCAAGTGGAACAATTGACCATTTTACAGAAACACAATTAGAGGCTGTGAAATGAGTACATGCTTCATTCCAGGAGAGGAAGATTACCATTTCTGCATATTTGAATCCACTAGAAGGCAATCACTGAAATATGCAAACATTCATGAGAAAATAAATGTAGTGGAAAATTTGGTGTATATCTGCAATCAAGTTTCATGTGCAGATCTAGGAAGAAAGAAAGGAGCTAAGGCAAATCAAACTGATATCGAGTTTCAACCGTTTCTCAATGAGGTTTCAAAAAACCCTAAAAAAACATGCCTGAGTAATAGCATGTGTTTCAAAATGAGACAGATTATTGGAAGTGTCAATACAGTTACTAATGCAGAGAAAACATGCATTTGCTTTTAAAATGTGTGATCACTCTTTATGAAGTGCTATATACAAGTCATTTTCCACTCAAGTGTTGGACAAGTGTCTTTCAACTGCTTGCAGGCCTATTCTGACAAAGTCAAGTGCAAGGATTCTACTTTAGCAACTACTTTATTCTTTGTGCAAGTGGAACAATTGACCATTTTACAGAAACACAATTAGAGGCTGTGAAATGAGTACATGCTTCATTCCAGGAGAGGAAGATTACCATTTCTGCATATTTGAATCCACTAGAAGGCAATCACTGAAATATGCAAACATTCATGAGAAAATAAATGTAGTGGAAAATTTGGTGCATATCTGCAATCAAGTTTCATGTGCAGATCTAGGAAGAAAGAAAGGAGCTAAGGCAAATCAAACTGATATCGAGTTTCAACCGTTTCTCAATGAGGTTTCAAAAAACCCTAAAAAAACATGCCTGAGTAATAGCATGTGTTTCAAAATGAGACAGATTATTGGAAGTGTCAATACAGTTACTAATGCAGAGAAAACATATGCATATGCTTTTAAAATGTGTGATCACTCTTTATGAAGTGCTATATACAAGTCATTTTCCACTCAAGTGTTGTACAAGTGTCTTTCAACTGCTTGCAGGCCTATTCTGACAAAGTCATGAACAACAATACTAAAAGCATAAAATAAAATTAACCATATATTTATCTTTTTACTTTATATAGCCTAGTATTTGCCAAAAGGATTTCCTTGAATTAAATTAAATAATAGTAGTATAATAATTTTCATTTAGACATAATATCCCTATACTTTATTTAAACAGCCATGTACTCTTCAACACTGCACAATTCCATTGATTTGCTTCCACCCTTCAAAACCATGACCCTTCTCCAACCTCTCAATGCGACACGCTCCTGCATGCACGTAATTCTCTGCATCCTAAATTTCAGGCATAATTCTGAAAGAACCAGTCATTTTCACATAACACACCCTTAATTCAATTTAAACAGACTACTAAATGTTGAGTCATGACATGTAGAAAAGAAAAAAAAAATCAATGTAGCCAGCAGTGCAAACAGTTGATAATTGCAAATGGAAGTGGGGGGCGGGAGTGCAAACATCATTTGTTAAGGTGAAACAGTACAGTTCTTCACTACAGACAAGAGTCGGGTAGCAGAACCCTGCCAAAAGCAATAATTGATCGTTTGCATGCAAATAGAGAAGGCAAAAAATGGGTTCAATCTAAAAAAATAAAAATAAAAAAAAACCAGTGAGCATTTTGAAGTGCTGCTTCAACACAGGCATCCAGCAAAATCAAGTCACACTCTGAAGAAACCGTTTTCCTCAGCCAGAGATAATGTGCCACACTATGGGTTGTCAGATACTTATCAGAGGGAACTTAGCTAAGGAATACTCCTCCTACCTAAAAAAAACAAACAGGTCAAGCGTTCCACCTCGCTCCCAAATCAGTGATATCATCAACTGGAGCTCCAGAGTAAATGTCAAAAATGTAAACGATTTGAGCACAGTTCCTTGGTCATTTCTAAAACGTCCTGGGATATAACAGAAAGCGAATACTGTATTTAAGAGTGAAATGAGTCCTTCTGTTGTGTGGCCACTTAGTGCTGTAGAATGTGTCAGATCTTCAGGGATGATTTGATTAAAACATTTAATTTACTTTGGTTTACAGAGGTCTATTTAAAATACACGACAGATTTCAAAGATTTTCCATCTGAGGAGTTTAACAAAAATGTGTCATTTAACTAGCTTTTTTCTTTTACACTTCCCTTTAGCTGAAAAGTGTCATTTTTCCATTAACAATTCCATTAAAAATTGTTAAAAGTGTTGAAGTACTTTCCCCAGCTTAAGGATGAAACATTGCTCAGTTTGTTTGAAAATCCCAACCAGACCAACACAGCAGCACTGGCTCTGCCAACAGAGTGAGTTAGGGGGCAGAACTATCTGTTCATCAACCAATAAAAGACAGGAGGATTTTTCAGGGAACTTGTTTAAAACAGTCACTATTTATGATTCTAGCAGTACAGAAATAACAAACTTTAACAGTCTTCTTCTAAAAACCCCTTTGGCTCAAATATCTGTCCACAAACAGACCCCAAGTGGAATAGTACTGATTGCATTAAAAGCATAACTGTGCAGAAATGCATTCAATGCCCAGGCCAGATGTTCATGCCCATCCAGATACAGATCTAACAAAAAGAAACTTGGATTTTTGTTTAAGAGAACTGTTTTAACATACTCTCTGCTACTGTAAAATTAACTGAATAATGTTCAAAGAAGCAATCATGCTTTTCTACATAATAGGGATATAGCGATTCACTCAACTCACGATTTGATTCGATTCACGATTTTGATTTCACGATTATTTTTTCTCGCGATTTTTTTTAACAAAATGAGATTGCAGACATTATACAGTAAATTAAAAGGTGTAATTTTATTAAGCTATCGCTGCATGTTTCTTTGTGAAATTTAAATATAACAAACTAAATTGAAATTTTAAAACAAACCCCATATCAAACAAGTAAGTTACACAAATAAAAGAAATCACTTAATATGAACAAACTAAGGCTTTGTCTGTGCTCTTTCCATTTAAAATTAGAGGCAACCACTGGATTTTAATCATGATCCAAACAAAGATGCAGCATACATGCAGTAGTTTTTAATCTAAATTAGACTATATAATTTCGAAATTTGAAGCAAAAAACAGAATGATCTGACTTTAGTGTTGTGAAACTATACATAAAACATATCTGAACGAAACAGCAGATGAGCTGAATGAAACGCAGATTCACTCTCTGACAGCAGGTTGCGCTTATTAACAGCAATGATACAGTGTTTCCTTGGTTACCTTTGTAAACAAAGCAGAGCTGAACACTACTTTAATATGCATTGTTCAGAGGCAAGATGAAAAGAAAATACCACGTAAACTTTTCTAAA